CGATATTCGCAGAACGGCTGGAAGGAACTGGCTACTAGCGGCCACTAACAGACAGCAGTGGAAGATCATGGAAGAGGCCTACGTCCAAGAGTGGATGGTTACTGGCTGAGGAAGAAGAAGAAGTTATTAAAAAATATTTTAATACAAGATTGTTTTATATGTGTAAGAATATGATGGAAAAATCAGAAAATAATCGTAATTTTTATATTAAATTAATAATTCACAAACGACAATAAAGAATTATTTTTTTGTGTACAATTTCTTTTATTTATGAATTTTTATTCTTTTTTTCAGACATCATTACTCTAGAGAACCTGAAATCCAATATTCTAGTTTAATTAAACAATTTATTAATTATTTTATAAGCAATTTTTATAGATAAGCATATTTTTGACAAATGGTTTATAATTTGTAAATAATAGATAAAATAATTAAAAAGGGATTTAAAAATATTTTTATGTTAATTGTTTCATTAATTTTTGAAATTGTTTATTAAAATATCTAATATTTATTATTTTGTGACTGGATTTCAGATATTACTAAGAAAGTTATTAATTGACCATTTGACTTTAGCGCCATTATGTGATGTCACTTATGACATCATAGTTTGTTCGGTTCTGGCTTCACTTTTTCGAGCAAACGCACCTTCCTTTATTCTTTATACTAGGGTACGTCCCCATGGACTGATATTTTCCGCGAACGCGTATCGCGTAACCAATGAGAGGCATTACACGTTTTCTATTACGCAGAATAGAAAATGTGATTGGTTACGCGATACGCGTTACGCGGAAAATATCAGTCCATGGGGCTGCACTCTCAAGGCGTACATGGCGTACACCAATCGGCACGCAGCAACGCTCGGCTCTCACTGCGATTTAAAAATGCATCCGATTGCATTTCAAAATGCGGGACACTACGAACATCTTTAACAATATTATGTATAACAAATTATGTATACTCCGTCCAGCGAGAGAATAACCTCGGTTCGCGCATAGGCAGACAAAACGGGAAGAACATGGCGAGGTACTCAATACCGTATACGTACATACGGCTTTCTCGGGTCCGGGATTATTATTTCAGTTTAGAAAATTAAATGGATGAAATAATCTCGATTAATTTCAATGTGATATAAAATCGAAATCTTACACGCGATACGAAAGTAAAATAAGGAATAATATGACTGCCAACTACAAGAGCGAGAGTTGTAATATATTTAAATTACACAGTCGGAGGGACCTGTCGCTTGTTTGCTAGCACTGGCATGCTGCACGAGCAATATGGCGATGTGGTGGGGGCTTCCTAGGTGTTCTGTGGGAGGAGACCTGTGCGAAACGGACGAGTTTTCGTCCGATCCGAGGTTATTCTCTCGCTGGACGGAGTATATGTGCAATGTATGTATCTAGAGATTGCATAATGTCTGTATACAGAGTGTCCGACAAGTAAGTGACCAACCAAAAGGTGGAGATAGATTGAGTCAAACTGAAAAAAGAAAAGTCCTGTACCATTTTGCGATTTTTGTAATAATTATTGAGAAATTAATTAAAAAAGATCAACCAATTCGCGCGAGTATAAGTGCGCAGCAAGAAGAGACAACCCAAAAGTAGGCGCGCGACAAAGTTTTGGGAAGAGCGCTCTACAAATGATAACAGTTACGTACGAGCGGTACATAACGATGGATTCACGCGTTCTAGCAACCACATATCAATGCCGCCCATATCAGGACGTCTTTTCTCACCGCGCGATAATACTCGCGCGAGTTAGTCGATCTTTTTAAATTAATTTCTTAATAATTATTACGAAAATCGCAAAATGGTACAGGACTTTTCTTTTCAGTTTGACCCAATCTATCTCCACCTTTCGGTTGGTCACTTACTTGTCGGATACCCTGTATATGATGTATAGCAATGTATATACATATTATGTACAACAAAATATATATAAATTATGTATCTACATTTCACATATAATCTATACACATACATATGCTATATGTACATATAAAATATATCAATGAATATACATATTATACATATAATGTACATTTAAATCATGTATATAAGATGTATAAACATTCTACATATAGGATATTATTTTCATGTCATGGAAGTAAAATATATATTTATTGTATGTCCAATATTATATTGGAAGTGAACAATGTCTATTCAAGAAAACTAATAGCGAATTAATCTTAGGAATTTACAGTATAAGAAGGCCAAAAGACATTTTAAAGATATCTAAAGGACAATAAGATGCCTTTTAGGGACATGTCTGAGATGTGAAACCAGAATTTTCGTGGGATTTGAAATGAAGAACTCCAAATCAATAAAAGTGTAACGATGCACCTCCCATCGTTACCCGGCACGTAGACCAGCCGGAAGTCTGTCGCCCGGCGAACACCAGCCGGGCAGTGGCAGAGGCGCTTAGCGCCCTATTTTAAACGTTACAAAACAACCGTACGGCCGTTATACGGCCTCCGTTACAAAAGCTCCGAAAACCAAGCACAGCCGAGTGCTGCCGGAAGAGCCCGAGCGTCACCCGCCGAAACGCCGCGTCGTTTCGCCCAGGGGAAACGACGCGTTTACCGTATTAATTACCCGCCGAAAACAATGCGTCGTTATCCCCACCCGGGGGCGAATGACGCGATTACCGCTAGACACTCGGGTATAAAACGGCAGCATTTTGACATTTCATTACCAGACCGGTACCTGATCCAGCTCGAGCTGTACGCACGAGATCTTCCAAAACCGATCCTGACACACGCAAATACAACGGAACGTGGGGTTGACGAGTACGCAGCCTCCGCCGAGCATTCTCGGACTCCGCATCGTTTGCGCTTCCTCTCAACCTTTCCGACCGTAGAAACAGAGAACGGAGTGTTCGCCGCTCTCCTCGAGGATTCTCGAGTAAACGGTCTACCATCCGACCGCTCCGATCAGATGGACCGTGGGTTGGCGAGTTCGCCACCCCGTCGAGCTTTCTCGACGCCGACCGGTCATCCTTACTTCGCGTACGGAATAGGGACAGAGAGTTCGCTGCCCGATCGAGATTTCTCGATATCCGACCGCATCCCGAAACAGCTGGGAATACGCGCCGTAAACACCGTCGCGCTTATCGTAGACGCAAAAGAAACCGTCGCGCCGAGATAATCAACACAGCGTTTTTGTATATCCGGCGCCTGTCACAACAAACACGACCACACTCCACGCGCCGAATATCGGTCGCGCTTATATATAATTATTATACGCCTTGCGCTCGGTTTGCGGAATCAGCCGTATTTATTTATTAAACCGCGCGTCTAATAACGACCGCGCCCCGAACGTTTTGCGCCCGCACACCGCCGCGCGCCCGCTTTGCGGGACTTAACTTCTTGTACTTGACCATTGCCGCAAGAGGCAAATAAAGAGATTAACTTACAACCAAAATCTATCGTCGTGTCTCACCATTTTCTCGAGCCCTGATCCCGACCGAGCTTTATCCGATCTCGCGAAAGCAGCCCGTTACAAAAGTATCGATACAACAAAATGAGTAAACCAAAACCGAACCAGAAAGTGATAATTATCCTATATTCTGTCTATATCTATATTATAGTATTGAGAAATAATTGGTAGTGTACTTGTGTACTATATCTATCAACAAAGACACGACCAGATATTGCCTAATGTGAATTTTTGCAGCAGTATGTAAAAAAGCCAACAAAAGAGACGTGAAATAAGAGACGTGAAGCATATAATCAAATATCTGAATGAAAACAGATGCTTCTAAATCGAATTAAAAAACAGTAATAAAATCAATCTGCTGAAAGCCTACTGTGACGCTGACTACGCAGAAAATCCCGAAACAAAGAAAAGTATTGTACAACCATTAGATTCATAAGATTCATTCTACTTTGCTGAGGGAGCAATTAGTTGAAGTTCAAGAAAATAATCGATAATCGTATTGTCCGGCACAGAAGCTGAGTAGATTGTTGCAGCGGAATGCTGTAAAGAATTGCTATATTGCCCTTCCGAGCGCGAAGGGCCGCGCTCAAGAGTACAATATCCTTAATATTGCTGTGCTGAGGAAATCGACAATTGTGCTGACTTGTGCTAGGCTAACACAACTCAGATATGCAATTATATGCTATTTGGATAACTGATGTGAACGTAAACGTTAGTTGCATGTAGTATTTTTTATCCAAAATTATTTTTTATAACTTTTTTCTTACTACTATCTTTTTTAAATAATACTTTAGCACATTGTTAGCACAATTTAGCACAATTGAGAAAATTGAAAAAAATGAAAAGTGTGGGGCTGATCAAAAAAATCGTTTTTTCCATTTTTTCTCGCATTTTTTATATTATAGTTTTAATATTCGAATACAATGTAGCATAAACTTAACACAATTCAACACAACTTTCGAAATTAGTTAATTTTAAATGTGGAGGGCTAACTTCGAACAGATGTTGAGACACACACACACACACATACACAATTACAAATTATGACAGAGAGGTATCTTCGACTCAAGATATCTGCGATGTTTTCTTGGTTTCTTCAATCCTGTATATGCATCAATATTCTTGTCCGTATCTTTGCGATATTGATAACGTATTTTGCCAAACGTTACATAAGAATATATCATAATTAAGAGTTGAATGTTTATATTCATACCACTATTGTAATAAAATAAATGTCAAAACGCACAATTCTACACTTTAATCGACACGAGGATACGTAACTTTACCGAATTCGCCGCTGTTCCATGAAAGTTGGCGGAGTAGTGTAAAGACACCGATCTCTTATCTTACCGACCAAAGAAAAGTTCGGAGCGAAAAATAATAAAACATGAGTTCGTCGAGATAATAAGCTAATGTGGTCATTTCATGGTTTGTGATAATTCATGATAATGCTTGACGAAAATGATCGTAAATCGATGTTAAATTGGCAAATTTTTATTTGTAACAACTGAACAAAGTGCATTTGAATGAGGCAGTCATTCGAGCCCCATCCCGATCGCCAGAATGTCGGCCGAACATTGGAACGACGACATCGCCTACGCTTTCTCTGCTCATAAAATATTCTTAAGAATATACGGTCTGTGGCCATTGCAAGCGCAGACGTTGTTCACGAGGATACGATGGAGCTTCTGTATTATTGCGCAGGTACGTTAATGTAAGCTGAATAGCTATAATATAACGTATATACGACAGAGAAAAACGCAAAAAGGAGTCGACATGCAAAGTAATTTTGTAATATTTTTTTCGCGATAATAATGAATAAATAGACCTTTTTTACTGGTGATTTTAATTTTTTAGTCGCTATACAAATTTATAATCTATTATAAGATACAAAAGTTATTTGTTATTATTACTGTATGCTTCCTTTGTCAGTAGCGTACACGTACATTCATTTCTGAGTCAAAAGAATTATTATTTAGTTGATGGTGCTACCCTTTGTAACATTGGATCTCATGTGGAGCAACGAGAACGCGGATACAGGTATAGAAAGTATACTATATTTTGTGTCCGCGGTGCTTGGGATCATAAAACAATTGTGTATCGCTGTCAATCAAAAGAAACTAGGCATAAACATTAATGCTGCTATCGATGATTGGTTGTCCGCTAAAGACGATGAGGAAACTCGAAAGATTATGAGCAAATATGCGATTAAAGCCAGAATTCTCACTATCATATTGCTATACTCGGCCTGCGGATGTTTTTGTATTTACGTATCAGCGATCGTGTTTATAAATCTGAAGCAGATATTTTTCACTGATTCATTGGAGGGTAAAATTTACTTGTATATTTAACAATATATTACTAATTCTTGTTGGCGTAATTTCTTAAATTCAGTCGTATATTATGATATGTTATACGTGCTAAATAACGTTACCCTTATATTTTGCATTCTCATGGTATGCAGCTAATGCTAATATAACAAATTGGATACTCCTGGTTCCATCTGGCCCATTGGGCAGCTCGATCACTGGTTCGCAATATGTTATAATCCTCCTTATTCAAATTGTTCAAACATCCATAATATGTTCGACGCAATGTATCGTAGACAGCTTTTTCTTCAACGTTACCATACATCTCTCTGGTCAACTCGAGGTCCTTAAAAACAGATTTAAAATTTTCTCGAGCAAGCCAGACACTGAAGCAAATTGTCGAAAAAAATTTGTCGGCTTAATTAATAGGCACAGTGAATTAATGGAATTCTATCAAAATTTAGAAGACAGCTTCCATTTCTTTATATTATCTCAACTCGTGATGGTGACGATTATGCTTGCATTAATAGGTATATAGTATATGATAAAGATTTTATTAAAT